CTCCTAAATCTTGTCTTTTCATTCTGTTTGCTCTGGTTCACCAACATCATTAAGTGCAGGATTAAAAGGTGTGTGTATGAGAAGGAGAGGGAGGGGACATAATGGTTTGCTTAAATGACAAAGGAGGTGTTACAGATTTATATGAATACCAGTGCTGTAGCCACTGCCTGTTTTAAAAGAAACCAGCTAATTGTATTGTCTTCAACTTTTTTTCTGAATTACTTAGTGCCCATGAGGGACTCTGATATAGATTAAAAGAATGAGGAGATAATAACATAAGTGAGTGAAGTACAGGTAGAGAGCTTTATATACAGTGTTGGAGAGCATTAAAAGTATAACTGCCTGGGCAAGTTTTCTCAATTTTGGGTACGCCATCTATTATCACTAAAATAACATGTTTTATTTTCTTATAAGCTGTAGGTCAATCAAAATTCAATTTTATAAATTTTTCTACATATTCAATGTCAGAAAAATTGTATCATATATAAGTGATTTTTATGGTATTTTAACAGATAGACCAACAAAAAAATTAATAGTAAGTAATATAGAGTACAACCTAAATTTTATTTAATACATTCATGCAATGTTTTTACATCTATATTTAAGTAACTATGGGGAACTAGAGCTGATACTATCTAGACTTAGGTACATATGTATACATTTCCACTCTTGAGATATGAAAGCTTTTCAATCCTCATAAATCATACTTTTTAAAAAATATAGTCATATCTGTCAGTCCCTGGAGACAAATTTAAGAAAATTATAGACTATTTAATGATTCTCTGACACTCAGATCATATTAATATATAACATTTCAAAAGAATCTCATGGGATAACTTTTCACAAATCACCACAGATGTAAGATGCCTAGCAAGTTCATGTAATTTTTTTGGTTGTTAGCCTATTTTTCTTCTCAAAGGCTCATTTAATAATAAAGTATGTTATACTTCTTCTTAAACAATCAGAAAATTTTTAAGTGAGGCATCACTTGCTCAGAAGATGTCCGTTTATAGTATACAGGTGAATAAAATAGTAAATGTTCCAATAAAAAGCAGTCACAGCATAATTTAGGAATGGACAGTCCTACCCAAGAAAAGAGAGCAGTCAATTTCATACCCACACAAATGGTGGTCGTCTCACCACAGACCTGTGAAAACATAAGCTAATACCATCTTTAAACTGGCATTCAGGAACAACAGTCCTCTCTTTTTACAAATAAAAAAAATCTGTGAATCAGAGACTGTATCTTAACCTAGATCACTAAGCTTGTCACGGGCAGAACCAGAACAAAAATCAAAGTATTTTTTTCACCATACCAGGTCACTCATCAAACTGTAGCTAAACATTTTGCCCCAGATTGAGAATACTGTTGTCTTAGTTTGTAATTTAGGAAGAAAAAAAGTTTACTTAGCTCATGGTCCTGCATGCTGGGAAGTTCAAGGAGCATGGCACCAGCATTTGCTCAGCTTCTGGTAGGGAAACAGATGATGCCAGGAAGCCAAACATGAAGGGCATCCTCAGTTTATAACAACCTGTTCTCGAGGGAACTAATCCATTCCGTGGGAACTAATCCATTCTCTCAAGAGCAAGAACACACTTACTACTGTGAAAAGGCAGTAATCTACTCAGGAGGACCTTTCCTCATGATGCAAACACCTCCCACTAGGCCCCACCTTCCAATACTGCCATGCTGGCAACTGAAGTTCAATATGAGTTTTGGCAGGGACAAACCATATCCAAATCATATCAGCTGCATTAAATAGAAGTTCTCATACTCATATAATTTCAGGCTTCCACAGACTGGAAAAAATCCCATGTGTTAGAAAAAGGTATTTACTCTGATCTATCACTAAAAAAGGCTATATTGCCCAGATGCTTTCATAAGTAAATTCTATCTAACAGATAATTCCCATGTATTCAAATTAATCTAGATCGGAGCAAAAGATGGGGAGTTGCCCAATTCATTTTGCTAAGCTGTCATGACCCTAGCCCCAAGCCTGATAAAACAGAATGAATAGGAAAACCATAGTTCACTCTCACTTAAGAAAGAAAATGTAAAGAATACTTACAAGTGTAAATCCTTAGGTAGCATTTAGTACGAACCAGGCATGTTGCAGACATTTTACATACAATAAATAATTTAATCCTCACAGCAGCCCTTGAGATGTGTACTACTATTACTTCCACTTTATAAAAGGGCAAGGACAGTACAAGGAGTTGAGAAACTTCCTCAAGATCTAATTAGTAAGTGATAAAGTTAGTTGGTCCAAATCCAAGGAATTTGGCTCTAACATATTAGGAAATCAACCTACCTATGTATCAAATTAAAAACACAGGGATTACCCCAGGAATACAAAGACTGTTCAATATGTCATTACATTAATACATAAGAGAAGCAACAAATGAATGCATTAATAGAGGCTTAAAAAACAATATACAATTTTGATAAAGTATTCTTAAATGGAATGATAAAGACTACTTATCAGAAAGCAACATCAAACAACATATGAAAATAGTAAGCTGCATAAGGAATTGCTTGTTTAGTTCATTACTGAAGTCCCAGTGCCTAGAATAGTGCCTGGCATCTAATAGGAACGTAAATATTTGTTGTATAAATGTAAGATAAATTGAAGACATTCCTATTATATTAGGAATAACACTAGTAAAACTGCTGTAACTCTGTTATTCCACATTATTTATAAAGTTATACTTAAGGCAGTAATATTTCGAATATTGGAAAATAAATAAAAAGTATATTAGTTTTCAGATTATATAATTGCATGATTAGAAAATCCACAAGATATAAGTAAAAACCTATTAGAACAATTATAAGCATTCAATAAGGTAAGTAGATACAAAGTAAATATACAACCCCCCAAATTTTCCTTTATGCTAACAATAACCAGTTAAAATTAAATGGAAGAATAGCATCTGAAACTGTAACATGCAACACATAAATTTAATCAGAAAGCTATAAGAGCTAAGTGAAGAAAACAATAACATGTTCTTGGATATAAACAAGACCTACATGAACAAATGGGAAGCTTTATTAAAGAGCAAAATGAAATATAATGAATGTACTTCTAATAAAATCCTTGCTGAAATATACACCTGGGTGAATAAATATACAAGGATTTACAAAAAAAAAATTTTAACACATAATAAGGATAGTCTTCTCCCATCAGATAGTAAAAGATACTGAAAAACTGCCATGATAATATTACTGCTAGTACTATTATTAGCAGCTAATACATATTAAAAGTTTTCTATATTCCAGGTATTTTAAATATAATTTAATTCCCACAATGATCCCTATGAGATTTGAATTATTATTACCCCTACTTTAGAGACAAGAAAACTAAAATACCGAGAGGTGGAATACCTTGACTAAGGTAACACTCAAGACAGGCAACGGTCCACTATAGTGGAAAAGTCACTGGTGTATCATTTTGGCAAAGTAATTTGGTTATCTACATTTATTCACTTAACAAATGTTTACTGAATAGCCACTCTTTACCAAGTCCTATGCTAGATGCTAGAAACATGACAATGAAAACAAGGCTCCTTCTGTTGTATTCTAATATGAAGAATGAGCAAGACAGCAAATATCACTTCAGAGAGCAAGAAGGATGTAAAAAAAAATAGAACTGGTTGATATGAAAGAAACAAACCTCTAAGAAGCAGGGCTATTTTTTTTTTTTTTTTTTTTTGAGACAGAGTCTCGCTTTGTTGTCCAGGCTAGAGTGAGTGCCGTGGTGTCAGCCTAGCTCACAGCAACCTCAAACTCCTGGGCTCGAGTGATCCTACTGCCTCAGCCTCCCAGGTAGCTGGGACTACAGGCATGCGCCACCATGCCCGGCTAATTTTTTATATATATATCAGTTGGCCAATTAATTTCTTTCTATTTTATAGTAGAGACGGGGTCTCACTCTTGCTCAGGCTGGTTTTGAACTCCTGACCTTGAGCAATCCGCCCGCCTCGGCCTCCCAAGAGCTAGGATTACAGGCGTGAGCCACAGCGCCCGGCCAAGCAGGGCTATTTTTATCAATGTTCAGGAAGCCATCTCTAAAAAAAAAAATTTAAGTTGAACATTCAGCTGAAAAGAAGACAGCCAATAAAGAGTTGGACAAACATTCCAAATGGGCAGAAGAGCAAAAGCCCTGAGCTGGGACCTGGTCAGAAAGTTCAAGGAATAGAAAGAAGGCCAATGTGCCTGGAGTAGAGGGAACAATCACATGGCAGAAGGTGGGTATTTACTATAGGGGCCCAGGCACATACTCTTTAATCCAGCAATACCACTTCCAACAGCAATAATAATATGTGTATGTAAGACTATACACAGAAGAATGTTATTGCTAGGTAGTTTATAGAAGGAAAATGACTGGGAAAACTAAATGTTGATTTGGGGAATGTTGAATAGATTATGGTATAATATACACTTCACAGTTAAGAAGAGTCAGACAATATCTATATTGATCTGGAAAGATGTCCTAGAGATACTGCATGGAAAAAAAAAACAAGTAGACTAATGTATATGACATAATTCCATTATGGGTTTTCTTTTTTTTTTAATGAAACTCATGAACTAACTATAGTATCACAAATTTTAATTCCTAAGGTCTGGCCCTGGATAAATCCACTTTGCTTCCTCCCTCTCCAAGCAAATGTCCTCTTGCATACTATCCTCCTTCCTCTTTCTCTCACTCATTTCCTGCTAGCATTTCAGCTTACCTCAGCACACTGCTTACCTTTTTTATCTGGGAGCATGAACGGCATTACAAAAATTTTAAGAGCACAGAGAAGAACATTTTCTTATAATTTAAAAACATAATAGACTTTAAATAACTTTGAAATAACTGTGAATCAGTTCTAATGATTTTAGTCAGATGGCACCATAAACTTTATTTAAAAATCTCAAGTCACATTATTATGAGCAAAGGCAACTAAATATTCAGTTGGCTATTACACTAGCAAAGATGTAAATGATAAATTATTCTTACCTCTACCTTTGTCCGATAGAGAACAAGCCTTTTAAGGCTGCATAATTTGGCGATGTGGTTGAAAGCTTGAGGTGGTAGTTTATCACAGGATGAAAGATTTAAGTCCTGTAGATTTGGACACATCTCAGAAATAACCTCCAAGCAAGTTTCATTAAGGAAGTGACTGCAAGATAATTCAAGGCGTACTAATTCAGATCCACAAACCTTCAGAAACCTTTAAAGAAAAAGATTCCATGTTTGTAAAACTAAAATACTTTTGCAAGAACTTTGAAATCACGTCAACTCTAAGCAGATAAGCAGATACACTTAGAGGTATAGATTCCTATTAGGGGAAATAGGAAACTTGTTTTGCTTAAATTCTCATTGACTGCATAATGAAATATGAATTGTTAGGCTAAAATAAATCAACCTGGGAAGATAAAGTGGATTCACATCAAATAAAAAGTCAGCTAATGCTAAGTGGAAAATTAAGAAAGCAGAAAGTATATTTCTCCAACTTACCTGCAATTCACATCTGAGTTGGTAAAGCCAAAAAAACAAAACTCTAATCTCTTGGAAGATATATCTCCCTTAAACAATACCCATTCAGTACTGGATAATATATTTTGAACACTGCACACAAGGAAACAGCTTTAATTATATGACCTTAAAACAAATGAGACTAGCCTCCTCCCAACTCAGAAAATTTCTAGGTTGGTTTAACTGTACTGTTGTGATATGTTCCATGGAGCTATTATTATTTAGCAGCTAGACTGCTTGATGTTGAAATTATTACAAAATAGTAAATTACAGCGCCACATAAAATTCACAGAAATAATCCAAGGTAAAGGACACAAAATGCTTTATCAGAGTAGGAATCACAGTATGTATCTTAGTTACATTACACTTTGGGGAAAAACAGTTCTGCCCATAATCATCACTCGAAAACAATCTAAAAGTAAACATGACTTTAGGAGTATTTGAATCCATAAAGCTTTATTACCTAAGCAAATGGAGTCCTCAAACCATGCACCAATTACATCTATGCAGGTCTCTTGACATAATCTTGCCCATCAGTGTCAGATCAGTAATATACTGTTAATTTATGCCACATCTTTTTTCCTAAATGATTTCATGAGATTAAAAATACACATTCAAAATAAAATTGACTAAATCAGCTCACTTGTGTAAATAAAGGAAGTAACACTGAACTAAAGGTCACAAGATGGGTTTTTGCCCTGTTCACCACTTCCTAGCAGTGACCTTGAAACAGGCATTTAGCCAAATCTCAGCATTTCCCCAGCTATAAAAGCAGACTTAAAGGATGTAACCAGTACATACTGCTTTGTGGTACTGAACATCAAATAATATGTGAACACAGTTTGTAAAGGTCAAAACACTCCATAAACAAATATAAGTTACATCTTGGCCAACTCACATTTAAACAACAAAATACCTGAGTTGCTGCAAATTTCTTCTAAATATTGCAAATAACCCAGCAGCCCACATATCTTATTTACACCTGAACACCTATTTACTCTTAATCCACTGCAGTCTATGTTTTGCTGTCCCTAAATTCACCCTTTCCTTTTAAACGCTAAATTCAATGCCCTTTATTATCAGTACTTGTTTTATTTGATTTATTTGTGACATTTCATACAACTGCCCACTCTTACCTTAAAACTCTGACACTCCTCTTCTAACTCCCTCTCCCGGATCGCCTCCAACTCATCTCACTCCTGTTTCCTTTGCTAGTTATCTTAGCTAATTGTAGTCTGCATCAAGCACATTCATTCATTCAACAAATATTTATGGAGCTTTACTATGACCCAGGCACTGGAGAAATAGCAGTGGACCAAACGAAGTCCCTGCCCTCATGGAGCTTACTTAACTTTTGGTGAGAGAGGGAGACTATAAACAAATAAATGAGTGAAATAATAAGTAAATTTGAACATGAAAAGTGCCAAAGAGGAAATAAAAGCGGGAAAGGGCAATATAAAAGGTCAAGGGGAGACAGAGTAGTCAGAGAAGTCTCTTGTGAAGTGGTGAGTAAAACCCTGCAAAGGCTCTGGGGCAGTATAACCAGTAGAGTGAGAATGGTGAGACCGCTGATGCAAGCAGCACAGAGTGGTGGGGACTTGAGGAATAGACTAGAGAGGGGAGGGGACAGCTCATATAGTGTGTGTCACTACAAAGACTTCAGCTTCTATTTTGAGGGAGATAAGATTCCTACCATCAGAGGTGTTGAACAGAGGACTGATACAACCTCCTTGTGTTTTACCTGGATCATTCTGGTCTTTGTGTGATGAACAGATTGAAGAGGAATAAGGGTCAAAACAGGAGAACCCTCAGGAAACCACTGCAATATTCGGGGAAGAGAGGATGGCACACTGGATTTAGATGGTAGTACCAAATGTGGTGGTAAATATTCAGATTCTGGATCTATTTCAAAGGTCACCAATGCATACTAAATTATGACATACCTCCTATATACTGAATTGAACTCTGGCATCATCTAGTCCCAACCATTATTTTTCTCTTAACCACCAATCCTGACTTATTAATTGTTTTTATATTGAGTTTTATAAGCTGCCTCAAATCCTTTGGCAATTAAGACAGTTCCTTGGTGTACCCAGGACTTAGAACAATGTCAGGCACATAAAAAACATTTGATGAGAGTGAGTTGAGTGGATCTTCCACTTCTGAAAATTCACTTGATAAATTTAATTTTCTTCTATTCTTGAACAAACTAAGTTCTAGTGACTCAGGGTAGTTTTCCCTTAACAGGATCAATCTGTTCCCAAGAAATATGATGAAATTCACATTTTTATCTTACTTTGAATGTACATAGTAGTTTATGGGAGTTCTTCATTATTTAATAATATATACTAGTAATCTAGAAATTGATGTAGAGCTAAAGAGTATCTTACTTTGGTTTAATACTGCTAAAATTATTAAATATTTACAGATTACAAAAGTTAAAAGAGTATATTAATTCTCTTTAAGGTCTTCATTACTTGGCAAAGCACTTTGTTCTACATTTCTTTTTTCATATTTGACTTAGAATGCCTTGATATCCCTCTTCTCTTTGCTCTCATTATTGAACTTTTCCTCTCCAAAGAATTATAGAGTGCTGTTAAGCCAACCACCAAAAAGCTGTTAACAGACAGCGGAAAACTTCCCAAGTTGAAATAATGAATGATAAAATTTTTGAAAGCACAATAGAGATAATGACCACACCTATATTACCTTTCTGACTTTCTCTCTCTCTAGATTCCTATATTGCAAATCTTTATTATGAACAGATTATTTGGTCAATATCCCCATCTTTACCTAAATTTACAAGATCTATACTATCTACCTTTTCATAATATCTATATCCCAAAGAACAGAAGTAGTAGCAGACTCAATTAGCTGAACACAATTCTTCTTTCCTTAATGCTCCTCATGTAAGTTTTATTTTAATGCATTACTACACACATGTTTTTGTCTTGGTCAACTATTTCTTCACCTCAACTGTGACACTGGTCACTTGAAAGAACTCAGCTTCTTTACTTCCTGCAGCCTATTCATTCTACATTGTAAAAGCTCATAAAGTACTTTTTAATATTGAGGGTTTTAAAAGAAGACCTAAGTTCTGATAAACAATCCCAAACTAGGTCTCCTGCTGTGAAAAAAGGAGTCTCTGGAGAGAGAAATAAATTGCTTATCCTTATGAGGTGAATTAATTTGTCCAGAATAATACAAGTACATATGAAGTAATTTACTAAATGGTAACTTGCACCCTAAAATAATTAACATCACATGAATGTACGATTTAATCTGAGTTTACTCACCACAAAATAAAAGGCACTAATCCTCACAACTTGCCTGAAGTATAAAGGTAAGGGGAGAATTAGACATAAATATCTGTGGCTTCTGTTTTCTAATCTTATGTTTTGTTAACTGATATTCACTAAGTTTATAAAACAGCATATTTAAGATAATTTTAATCCCAAATAACTTGGAACACTAATATATCTAATCTAAAACAAAGCCATTAAGAACAAAACTTCCTGCTTAAGTGTATATGGTACCATATACAGTTTCCCCTGTATAGAAAGAGGAGAAAAGAAAGTCTTGAAATTGTCTCTACTCTCTAGGAGAGACAAATGCATAAAATATAGGCAGGCAATTGAATAAATATATTAATGAACAAAAAGCTCTTTATACCATAAAACTTAGCTCTGTGTCAAACTATCTGTTTTTTGAATCTAGAAAGCATCCAAGAATGTTTCCTCAAGGAATGACTATAAACTACTTAGAATAAGTAGAGGGGTTAGGGGTAAAAACCTATACATAATTGAGATAGAGATCAGGGTGATTCTGCAATTATTTGAAGAAATATGATAGTGGGAAAATAAACCCCAGCCTTTTTAAACAGAAAGATGTAATTACACTTTAAAGCACAAACAAGCTGGGAGGTCAAGGACTATCTAAGACTTTAGGAAACTATATTATAAAAAGAAAAGCGGGGTTATAATAGAAGTGATTTTAATGAGTAATAATATGCTTGAGCGGTACTCAAAGTTGCAAATCACAAATCTATGGCTAGAATAGGATTTTAATAACTGATTAAAAGTTTTAGGTTCTCTTTATTCCAACTTAACCTATTTCTCTGCTATTCTGAATAATACAAATTCTTAAAAATATTTAAAATCCAGTTACACAGTTCTAACTTGTGAGGATAACATCTTTAGGCAACAGAAATAAACATCAAACTTTTTCCCAGAGACTTGCTCAAAAAGCAGCTCATCATGTTGGTCTCTAGTTTAAAAATGTGTTTTTCTTTAAAGTATTATAAATAAGTCTTCTTCACAGTAATAAGCATAAATAGACCATACTTATTCATAGATTATTCATTAATAATCAAGCCATGAATATTTATTGTTTATTCTGGGAACGCTGCCTACCAGCCATAATGATGATCAGTTCAGCAGTCAAGTCCTGGGGGCCAACAGCAATCAGGAGGTAAAACTCCAACATGCCCCCACCCAAGAGAAGATTCTCTCTGCTTGTTATTTAGACTTTTCTTAATGGAAATAGTGACGATAGTTAAAGGAATGCTATCAAGATTTATGGTTTTACTGGCTGAAGTACTACAGTAAAATATGGAGAACTTAAATTCATGTATGCAGTCTTGTTATTACTCAAACAGCCCTACAGCAACTAACCTGGGTGAATTGAAAATGGAAGAGAAACTGCTGGTGAGAAAGTAGACTGGAGTTCTAACTTTGCAAAGGAAGATCTTTATCCATTGCCAGTCTAAAATTTAAAAAATAGTGCTTCTTGATTTTCTACTCACAACTGGTATTTCTTCTCATGCAACCAGAATGAGCTATGTAATGAAAATTTTAAAAAACTGATTTAATATTACCTTTACATTTTACTTATTATTATTATGGTCATAAACAGCACTTTGCCAAAGAAGCTGGATTCGGCCACTCACTCATGTTTTCTTTAATGTCTACAAATCATTAGTTACCAGCCTGTTATTTATAAAAATACATAAAAGACATGTGTTTATCTTAATATCTTTATCTTCTCTCTAGGCTGAAGGCAGGAACTGTTATTATATATCTGATATATCTGTTTACATGGCCAAAAATACCCACTATCATGCCTTGTACATAAAGGGTGAAAACAAGCACTTAATATAGTCCTAATAGTGTAAAACAATGAGAAAGAGCTATGAGGGTAATTAAAATAATCTGAAGGTCTGTATAATGTAAAATAATGCTTACTGACACCACTTGTTCTATCTGCTCTTATATTCAATTAGTCTTGGTTTATGATTGTATATGCTCTAAATATTCAGTCATCATTAGCTTCCATTCTTCTTGGACCTATTAGCAGAGAGAAAAACTTGCCAATGAAGTGTGTGTGTTGGAGTAAGGGGAAGCAGAAAGGACTAAATTGAGTTTCAATGGACAGCTGTCTGTCAAATGTCTACAGTAAATCCTTTCCCCTGGCTCTTTTTCTGGCAGAAAGAAAGAAACTCGGTACAGCCACACTTTCAACATGTGCCACAAACCATTACTGCTTGTGTTTATTTTTCACTTTGATGCATAAACTATCAATGTTAGCATTTTAAGCACACTGTTACCAGTTCAAATATTATTACTTCATCCAAATACAATATCAAATATTTATTTCTGAAACTGCAACTTTTATTTTTATAATCTGAGTCAAGAGGAAACAAGGCTCCACATACAAATGTCTAATCATAAACCACTGTTCAAGAATGTATCCACTGAGGATACATGTTGGGATAGCTGTAGTTCATTTTTCAGGATAAAAGAATATTCTTTAATTAAAAATAACAGGTAATTTCCCCAAAGTTTCTACTCCATTATTTAACTTCACAAAAATGATGGGATTATATATAACATACAATGAGAACAACCATCATCAAGGTTAAGAGAAAAACACCTGTTTGTATAATATAAATTACTATGGCATTACTAAATGAATATGCACTTGTGCAAGCTTTCAAATGTTTAACAGGTGACATTTAATAGTAAGAAAACTAAATGCTTAAATAGAAAGGAGCAGAAACACCTGGGCAGGTCTACAAGTGTGGTCGTCTATTTAGCATGCAATTGCATTTTCAACATAATTAGTTTAAATGAGCTTCTAAATCTGGGTGATGTATTGCACATGTAATTAAGATTTAATTAAAAATGTTCTATAATAAATTGTTTTCCATTTCTGACAAATCACATTAGAGAGGTAGATTTTGATTTGGAAATAGTTTTTAAAATGTGTTAATCATCTGTGCTGAAAATATGAGAAAGAAAAAAAGGAGCTCTGTTGAAAGTTACTTGGGATTTAAAAAATATGAGATAAATAAAGAGTACAGTTCCTCTTCCTATTATTAAGAGGATGGTAAAATACATTCATTTTTATAAGCAGCATTATTCGGAACACAATGATACATAAAATGTAATTATTTTTTATTTCTATAATGTACATGGTATATAATTTCTAACTTTTATTATAAAAACTATCATATAATTAAGTACAGCCTGCTGGTGGAATAAAACTTTATCAAGGCTTTGCACTAACCTGCTAAATCCTGCAACAGAGATGAAGCCCCTATTGCCAGTCCAAGATAAATTGAGCCACTGGACAAGAGTGCATCGAGGCTGTAGAAATTCCAGAGAGGTGTCATTTAGCTTTGCCCAGTATGGCTGCAGATTGAGGTGAATGTACTGCAGAGGATCACAGCAATGCTGGTTCAGTAGTTTGCAAGTCTGTGCTAATCTACACAGATCTGGTAGAGTAAGATGATTCAGAATCAGCTGAATAAGCTACATAAGAGAGAGAAATCAAGACCATCAAGAGTGAAAAACAGTAAGTATCACTTTATTAAGCATATAATATAGTCTAATAAGGAATAAAAGTATATTTTATAATATTTTCATAGAGTAAATAAATCAACATTCAACAGAATTACTCCAGTATGAAAAAACTATACATTCTTAAGACCATATTATATTTCAAAATTGTTTGAAATATACTCAGCTCATGTTGACTACTCACTTTCTTAGGGTACAAAGATATATTTTGGTAATCTGTTGAATGGCATAATTTTTCATACACTCAGCATTTACTGACCATCTACTACACCCCAGACACTGGTAACAGAAGAGTTCCCACTCTCAGAGTGCTTATGGTCCAATGGGGATTGGTCCAGTGATATGTTTTATTAGTCTTGATGGAGAGAAGCACAGGATGCTACTAAAGGCTTAATATACAGGTCTAACTCCAAAGTGAAAGTGTACTTGTGCCAAGAAGTCACAGCTTTAAACCTTGATGGGAAAACTAGGTAAAAAGAGAGTCTAGTGGTAAGGGCTGGGTTACAAAGAGCCTCGCAGAGGAGTTTGGATTTATCCTGAAAGCCATGGGGAATCCTGAAAGGATCTGAACTGCAGAGCGACATGGTTGGATTTGTATTTTAGAAGGATTATTACAGGGGGTGCTACTGGAGGCAGGGAGGAAGGAAGGGAAACCAGCCAGGGCGCTAATGCAGAATTCCAGGAAAGAGAAAATTAAGGGCCTGCTTAAGGCAACTGACAGTGATGATGGAGTAGCAAACAGATACAAAAATTATTAAGAAGGTGGAAACAAAGACATTGTTATCTTAAATTAAAATGATCTCTTTGAACTAGTCAAAGTTTTGGGTTTTTCTTAACAATTGGAGGCTTCTAAACTAGTTCTTCAAAGAACTGCTTAAATAGCCTATTCTGAACCAAGAACCAAAAAGAAAAAAAAGATAAAATATTTGCTAAAAGTTAAAAATCTTATTTAAGATAAGACAGAAGGGTTTTTTTTTTTAAACTTAATTAAGGGTATTTATTTAACTAAACTTTTTGTTTTATAATTACCCTAAATGCTCTTCCTCAATTTATTTGATTATCTAGGTTTGGTCTTAATTTCAGGTCAGAATTTCATTGTTTTGGGCCAAAATAATACAAAATAGTAACAAAATGATCTTTAAAATATCTTCAAGGAATATTTATAAAATATGAGCATCAGCTAATTAATCTATTGTATATAATAATGTTTGGGGTATTTTACTATTTACTTTTAAAATTTGAAGTAGCCTTTTAAAAAATAATATTGGTGTGTGTGTATTGTAAAAACAGGAAAATATAAGGATATTAAAAATTAGCCCAAAAGCTGACAAAGATGCTGTTTTGCCAGAATTTAATCAGACTTCTGAACCTTCCAGGCCCATCTATGCACTTTCCTTTAAAATCAAGTTTCGGCAAAGAACCCCACTAAATCAGTTTAGTAAGAACCCCCATCTACTACCACCCCTCAGGTGATGTCTGATCACCTGTCTTTAGTCAAACTCTCCCTAATTCCTGATGTTTCCTCTTAGTAATTTTCCATCCACTAATCCCAGCAATCTGCAACTTTGCTATAAATTCCCACTTACACATGCTGTATTCGGAGTTGAGCCCACTCTTTCCCCCACCGCAAAGTCTCGCTGCAGTACTCCCTATATCTATCACAAATAAATAATTTTTTCTTTAACAAATCTCATCCAGATAAAGCTGGTGACATGTAAAATATTATACAAATGAAAAAAATTCAAGTAAAAAATTAGAAAACCTAAATATTGTAGAAAGATAGAAAATGAAAAATGTATCCCTCTCTACACTCAATTCTAACAATCCCTCTCCCCAGAGATAAGCACTGTTAAAGGTTTTTCTGATCTCTTCCAGATAAACATGTATGAAATTCTATTCTTGGATTTGCACTAAAAGAATGATACTATATACACTGTTTAGCACTTTGATTTTCTAATTTAATGATATATCCTGTAGATCTTCCTGTATCTGCATAAAAACCCGCCTCATTCCATTTCATAGATGTGACATAACAATTCAACTAGTTTCTCACTGATGTATTTCATGCTTTTTTTTTCTGTTGCAAATTATATTACAATATCATTGTGTGTATGTATTATGTATGTATGTTCATCTTGGCAAACTTTGCAAATATATCCTTAGGGTAAATTACATACATTTATAAGTTTTGGTACAAGCAAAAAATTGCCCTTCAGAATGTTCATATCAATTTACATATCCACAAAAGTGTACGAAAGTATCCTTTAACCTATATACTAGACACCTTTGGTATTAAAACTTTAAACTTTTCATTCTGAAAGGCAAAAAAAGAAAAAAAAATACAGGACTGTTTTCTTTGTGGTTCTTATTCCTTTTTTTTAACTACAGAAATTTAGCCCTTTCCCAAGGGAGCTGCTGTTCCTGTACACGCTATCCTGTCCCATTTATCTACCCACTATGTCTTCCATATCAACTGCCTTCTAATTAAAATAAAATAAATTGTCTTCTAAATTTTTAAAGCGTATACATTGGAATCCATTAGATTGTTTGGATCCAAATGTGAATCAGGACTAATGCCCCTCTATCACTCTTCTTGTCCAGAATTTTCCTGAGTATTTTCATTTTTTGTTTTTAGGTGAACTTTTTACTTCAAAAAAAATTCTGTTTACATTTTAATTGGGATATCACTGAATACATAGATTAAGGAAAACTGAAACTTTTACTTTATTTTGTTTTTCAACTCAAGGACATGCTCTAAGTTTTTAGCAAAAGTAAATTATTTACAAAGTCTAAAGTATCTGTAACTCCCCTCAACTAATATTAGTGTATATTAGAGTACCCTGAAAACCACTGTACACTTCAGCATCCTGATGACCACTGGCTAAAGGGATAAAATGCAAACCTCTTGGAAGAACTCAGAGATCCTCTCTGATGCAGCAGAGCAGGATGGGCGCTGCCAAGGCTGGGGAGTCCCAATTACTGTCATCTACGGGCATGGACTTGTGCGCTGAGGCAGCCCTGAGCCTCCATCCAATCCCATCTCATACAGCTTCCTTCCCCTATCACATCGGTATGTGTCAAGCATTTTATCAGATCTGGATAAAATTCAATAAACTATTTTTTTTCTTTTTATTTATTTTCTTTTTTATTTTATAAATTTAAATTTTTTCTTTTTTTTTCTGACATATAAAGAGCTTAAAAATTCAATAAACTATTTAAAATACATTTGCTGAATTTAAATTCTATTTTATAGTTTGGGGAAGTAGGTAAGACTCAAAGAAGTGATTCACTCTCCTCCAGATGAACTGCTCCCACTGCTGCCACAACAGACCTTCTCAGAGCCCTGAGGAGCCACACTGTCAATATCTCACCTCCCTCTCTCTCCTAATTCAACTCTCCCTTCATCTTTTTCATACCTACCATTAAAGGCCAATCTGTTAAGCTTCCCTTCTATAACACAAGACTTGACTTAAAAGGGCTGGGTGGGATCCTGGTCCTATGGCTTGCTTACTGAATTACCTTGGACCCTTAAATTCATCTTTATGTGGCAACTTTAGCTACTTCACAGGATGTACCATAGCATTTTAACTGTAAAATGTTATACAGGCATTCAAGAGGCTTAATATGTTCCACGCAAATTAAGCAATTTGTATTATTACAATGAAATTTGAAATACCTGCCAATTTGGAAGGGGCTATCTAAGTTGTTAAATTTTAGTTTATAAATTTTTCTTAAAAAGAAAATTGATTATATTATTTTTAACCATAGAACTGTTTTCAGCAGGAGACAGAAATGACTGGCCCTATTTCCAGCCCCAGGGGATATTTGGAAACAGGTAGGGTGAGGTTTTGGTGTTGCATAGTTGTGGAATGCTACTGGCATTTGATCCCTGGGACCCAGGGATGCAAATACACCACAGAAGTGTCCCTGCAGAGACACACTGCAAACAAGACTTCAAATTAGATACAAAAAAAGTATATCCAGGTAAAGCTACTCTGTACCTACTTAGACCAAAGATTACAGTTAGAAGAATACAGAATAGAGTTAGTGCAGAAGAACAAATGACACTTAGAGAACTATAGACTACTAAATGGAGTAAGCTTTCATTTTACAATCTTAGTATTACTCTTATTTTTAATAGCAAATAATCTCTGACATAACTGATATAAAGTTAAGCATGTATTGTCTATACTTACATTATAAAATATAAAGTGGAGTATAGTTTTTTATTGGTTTATGTATTTGGTTACTATTAATTAGTGATATAACATATATTTAATAGTTTATCCAGAAACACTAAAGTCAATCCAAAATAAAAGCGGTAAAATTCATTAACGTAATTCTGTCTACTTTTTCCAAAACCAAAATATACAACAAATCAGATTATATACACCTTACCGATGCTCCTATTCCTCTGATATCTAGCAAAATAAACATTAACATCTAGACATTTAAAAATCTATAGTTATGTCCAATATTGCTAATAAATATTTTTAGCTTACCTCATATGGTAGTTTATCAAAATACCCATTATTTGGCCCTTCCCTGAGGACAGCACTGCTAAACTTTTTGTTAAGATTGTCCATTCCACAACCATCCTTTTCTTCATAGTCATCGTCTTCTAGATCATTCATGTCAATAAGTGAAGTCTTGAGAGAAAGCACTGGCTTGTCCTTCATACCATGTAGCACAACTGCATCTAATTCAGTGTAATAATCCAGAAGAGAACTATTTACTTCCAGTCGTATAAGATTTGTGGGAAAATTTATCTGCTTAATACAAGGTTTAAACTGGCGAGCCTGGGAAGCATTCACCTTCGTAGGTCTCTCTGACCAAAGAATCTCCCATCTGCCAAAAAAAGAAATTTCCCTATAATATAGTTTAGAATGAGATCTACTGATACCTTAAGGTTATGGCCCCATGCCCAATATGTCATGGTGCAAAACAAAGCCATCAAATAAGGTGAATAGAATCAAACACAAGTATTGTTTCCAGGATATTAAAACCTTAAAACTAAATGTCACAGACTTTATTATTTAAATTATTTTTACAAGTCCCAAAGCAGCTCCCCCTTTTTGTTCTTCAGATTTCACATCGGGCAGTTTAAAAACTGAAACACGTAGTTTGAAGTTTCTGAAGAACAACAACAGATTTTTAATAAGAAACAGGAATAATAAAGCACACAGGAGAAAGCTCCCCTGTGCGCACCTCCGAAACCACCTGCAGAAACTAAACTGATCATCTGGCCTTACAAAGGTCTCCTTCTCCAGCTCTTCCATTTCTCTTACTGGCGCCATAGGAACTCAAAACTTTCACGTTATCTTTGATTTTTCTCTTTCTTTTATCAAGTCATTAAGTTTTGTCAAATTTTTCAGGAAATTGTTTCTTACGTATGCCCCTCTCCTGAATTTCCATTGTTGTTATCTTTTAGTCATCCTGGTATCCCTAGTACCTGGCAGGTGTCTAATATGTAATAGGTGAATAACATCCTCTCCTATCCCTCCAAATGAACTCCTACTTCCTAGTCAGGTTGATCATTACTTTTCATACAATAAACTTATTTCCACCTTTGTGTCTTTGCTCATGTTGTTTTCCTTCAAAGAAATGCCCAACCTACTATTATCTACCTGTTTGTTCTTCAAGGCCTAACTCATATTCCATCTCCATATAAGTCTTCTTAATAAAAATATTTTCCAAAATTATTTAAAGATTCTTCATAACATAGTATCATCAGCTATTTAACACTCTCATATTTGCCAATAATTTCTCTAATATTGTTTCCTAATATAGCAAAGAAAATTAGAAATACAGATAAAAATACTTCAATAGATATTTTTCCTCTATTCCTAATTATTTACTTTGGCTAACAGAATTTTTTAACGAAGACTTAATATCAAAGAATATTTTTAAGTCTTTCAATATACACTACAAACTGCTTTCAAAAAAGCTTATGTCTATAGTATGTAAGAATGACAACTGAAAGCATTATTTGTTTTTTTTAAATAACCTCTAATTTCAGTTAGCCATATCTCCTTATGATGTGATTCATAATTTGTTGATTACTAATAACACTTAAAATGTTTTTATATATTCATTAATTATATGAGATTTTTTTCTCACCATTAAATTAGTGGTTTATTTTATTGGCCCAATGACCTACTTGTATCTAAGTAAAAACTGATTAACTATAGCAAAGCACATAGGAAACTGAAATAGACAAAAGAGTGTGAAACTCAAATGAGAAATGTGAGCCAAAACTATAGAAGCCATCAACATATAGATATTCTAATGGTCTTTAAGGGCCAAGGAGGGCAGATAGCCCCAATCTTGGAAGAATGGAGATTGGAAGTATGGTAATTTCTACCTTCAGGAATAAAAACATAAGGTAGAAGCTCAGTGAGGAGTCTAGTAAACACATCACCAAAGTAATCAGGAACTACAGAATAGGGAACCAGTACAGGAACTTTTACAGTTTCTAGAACCTTTATATTTGTTATTTTTGCTAATTCTTTCCTGAAAATTAGAAATAAAACCCATCAAGTAGAAAGAGCCTGTGAGTATTTGCATTCAGAGGCAACAAGGAGGAGGATTGGAGGAATTGGCCACACAGTATAACTAATCTTGGGAGGCAGGGGAAGAGTTCCAAGAAATACAGCAGGTTGTGACAGGTTTAAAATAGAAAGAAAAGCAGGCTGAGTATCTTCTTCTGTGACAAGGCAGAAAAACAAACTTGAAGTGTCAACCTGGACCCAAGAAGAAGTGTCCCTAGAGACTAACTACAAAAATCTTAAGGGTTTCTAACAATGGAATTGATTGGAATATTCTAATGTCAATCTGCGTAGTAAACTAGAATAAGTCACATAGGTACAGGGGAACAGAAGTACGAAACACGTAAAACAATGTGGGTGGCAAAATGTATGCCTGATTATGAATGATTTATTTTCAAGAATCACAGGGTAAATTGTGGACTGCATGAGAAAATTCAAACTTTGGTTTTATTCATCCTTTCACTGCTACTGCAAACTGACGCAGACAATGTTGGAGGAATGTCTCAGGTTCAAGACCACTCAGGACCCTGTGAAATACCTGCCTATACTGGTTCACAGCACATGTGAACCAAACCAGCCTATTTCATTGTTTAGCTTCAAAGAGAAGTTTTGTGAGGCTTAACAGAAACACTAAAGATGTAATATAGAAATAACCTCCACCAGGTGCTTTGCAATAAACAAATATGCAGACAATACATGTTCTTCATGCATAATGTGAAATGCATTATAATGTAAATTAAATTATAAAATTACAAATATAAGCTTAAAGAAAGGCATTGATTAGAGCATAAATATTCTATTTTAATAATGCATTCATCTACTGAAGTCCCGTCTACCTTGCAGAATATGCAAAACAGACAAGGTTAAGGTGATGCTTTAAACTGACTTCCTAACATTTCCAGTATATTTAAACATAAGGATTAATGTTATTTTAGCATCAATTCTGCCTGTGACTTCTATATAGAATGAACATTACATATGTAGAGACACATATATAAGTTATAAAAATTACAAATATACTTAAACAATATCAGGATCTTAACAGCTTTTAGAAAGATTTTTAAATGTTTAAACATAAAAAATTTGCAAATAAATCATTAGTTTATATTTGATTTCCCTGATAACCCAAAAAGTAAAAAGTAAAAATGATAAAAAGACAAAAATTATTTTGTAGGTCTTTAGCCACTTTAATTAAATGAACATTAACTGTGAGACCAACACAAACTGATTTTGTGGTATCTGCATTAAAGCGAATTTTTATTTATAATTCCCCAGTAGAACTAGAATGTATCAATCCAAAGTAAGAAAGAGAAAGGTGTCTATTTTATCCAACAAAACAAAGAATGCCAATTTCTATTTAGTGTGGAAAATTATAGCCAGAATCTTAGAAATAAGTCAGTGAAAACAAGAAAGCAAAGACATATGCACATGTACATGCATATACATGCCAACATACACACACATCTTTGCAGATAGCCCAACTCTTAAGTCTCTAGACTCAGGGCAGTGTTGATAGGAATAAACTCCTTTAAGTTATGGCCATTGTAGTAACCCACTTATGTGGTTACTATTATTCTCACACATTGGATTTATCTACTGGAGAAATCTGACAAACTCTAGTGTACTACTCAAGTATTTTAAATCTAGAGTGACATGTGTGCAAAATTCAACCTAGAATCCCTTTCGGACTGTGCTTTGGTCCACACCCAGAGCACTCCATTCTGGGATGGTAACCAAGAATGTTCTCTTCACAAGTCCATTTAATGTTCTTTCTGTTGATTGTACTGAATGACTACTATGTGTCCAGTGCTCAAAAACAATTAACAAACCACTCTCTCTCTCTGACTACTGACCTGCTGGTTATACCACTTAGAAACTCTCTCCAGGGCAACCAGGAAGCAGCAGGTAGACAAGCAAGGAAGACAGATGTTTCATTAATGGAAACCAGAGAAACCAAGTTTTCTAACTTGTATTCAGGTTAAAACCAGGCCCATGCATGCAAAAAGCTTCCCTGTAACCAAAATTTCTCCTGGTTAGTAAGCATATCTAGTAGCCAGGGAAAAAGTGCTCATGCCAACCTTGTTCAATTTCACTAGCTGAAAGTGAAAGAATAGTTAAGGAAAACTATCCTTTTCCTAAAGGATAGTTTAGGAATAACTATTCCTAAACTAGGAATAAAAGAAACAAGTATTCTGATAGGTGTACCTATCACTCCCTACCTCCCAGCCCATCTCTAATTGGAAACTAACAAATTGGCATTCTGCTTAAAAAAAAAAAAGCCTAGCTCCCTAGCAACTTTGCCTTCCAGCAAACGAGGACTTCACATGGCATTGCATCCTTGCTTGACTTCTCCTTCCCCATCATGCTTCCCCCACCCCCACAGCAGTTTCTCCTGGAGCACCTCCATAAGTAATTGCATAGTAATAGCTATCTAAAGGTCTGTTTCTGGGAAACTGGATCTAAGATATCTACATAATCCCAAAGTCTAGAAACCACTAGTTAAGATCTCTGTCCTCTTGGACTTTTCTTACTTCTTCAAACGCCATGATCTTACCTCATCTCACCTTCTACTGTGCTGTTCTCTCTCCCCCTTGCCTATCCACAATGGAGCCTCACTCAATCCTCAGGTCTCAGTTAAGTCACTTCCTCCAGGAAGCTTTTCTTGAGCCCCATGGATTAGGTCCTCCCCTCTGCCAATACATGTTCCCTGTGATCTCATAGTCCCTCTTCCATGCTGGCCTGTACGCTCAAAGAATAACAGCCACTTTGCCTGGCTCTCTGTTTTGTTCCCAGAAGTGAACTGACAAAGAGGGTGTTCAATAAATGTTTCTGATTGTTTAAAGAAATTCACCAAAATGTTAACAGTTACTGAATCTAGGCAGAAGAATTACAGGTATTCTTCTCATATATATTTTCCAACAACTTTTTTCTTTACAATGAAACATCTATTCATTTCATAATTAGTAAAATTTAGAAAGGCCTTTTCTTATCCTGTAATAATATGTTATATTGGTCAGATTCTTTTTCTCTTAAAAGCTAATGGCACTTGCTATAGAAAAAAGCTAAAAATCAGCAAAACAAATTAGAAATATATCTATAAAGCTTTAACTTTAATCACAATTATACAGTCTAACTCTAAGGAATTAGATTTTTACTCAAAAATCTGTTATGAAGCCATTAAGCTTTAGACTGGAGAAAAGACATTACATGTTTCATAGATCTCACCCCTAAATCTGTACAGCTTTTTACAAAAAAGTAGATAACTGAAGGAAAAAGACAAAGAATGACAGAGTCCTAATAAAATAATTCTCACATAAGAAAAGATCCTGGCCAAAGTATTACTTTTTTTCTTCTTGGGGAAAAAAAATTTGTATATTAAAGAATGCTGATTTTCTGGATTAAAAAATGATTCAATAACATTGTTCACAATGAATTATCAAGGTAGTTCTGAAAATGCCTTGAACAAGATTATAACAGCAGTCTCCAACTTGAGTTGTCTCTGTATTTGTTTCCCTGGTAAGCTGTGGAGGTGTCCCCTTAGAGGTGAGGGGACAGAGACATCAAGGAAGCAGTGTGTCAGGGGTGGCAGCAGACCCCTGCCCCCATTCTTCCTCCTCTGGCAGTGGGGGGCCTACAGTCCAGCAGGTGCCCAGGATCTACTCCCAGGCTAGAATGGGCTCACAAGGGCAGGGACTTCTGCCTATCTTGTCCACTGTTCACTGACATACCTCAAATACCTGGAACAATACCTAGCACATGGTAGACACTAAAATATTTAATAAAGGGTGATTTAAGCAAGTGACATAAAGATCTAAAAACTGGTAAGATCAATAAGTAATAGAAAGATGAACAAGTAATATGATCAGATAGTTGAGGAAAAGAAATATAAATGGCTCTTAAACATATAAAGAGACATTCAACTTCAGAGATAATAAAGGAATTTTTAACAAAGCTAACATGAAATAACATTTTTTACCTACTGAAGTGCAAAATAATTGAAATTTATTAACACACTATGTGGATGAAGCTTTGGCAAAACATGCATGCACATACGCTAATGGGAATATAAGTAGGCACAGCCCCTTTTGAGGGATTTTTGGTACTATATATCAAAACTACAAGTGTTTAAAATTAGATATAATTGCAATTAAATTGTTAAAATGTAAAAAATGTTAAAAGTTACAAATGTTAAAAATTATAAAATTATCGAATTATCCTTGACTGAGAAACCCTTCTGGGAAATTTATCCAGCAGATACACTTGCATGCATGTGAAGTGACTTATGATAAGCTTATTCCCTGCATTAACATTTATAATTGCAAAAGACTGAAAACAACTAGATGCCCATCAATGGGGGTTAATAAGTGGGAGTTCATATACACTATGTATTATTTGCAACTATAGAAAAGAATAAGGAAGGTCTCTTTATGAAAAAAATCCAATATATACCACGAAATGAAACAAGATATAGAACAATATGATTATTATGCTTACTTTTATATAGAAATGCTTACTTTTATATAAAAATATTTTTTTATTTGCTTGTATCTGTACAAAAAAACTCTGGAAAGATAAAAAGAGAGTTGATAAAAGTGGTTTACTTGCAGGAGGGATGTGTCTTAGGCACATGGAGAATAGGGTACAGGCTAGACTGCATTATGTACTTTTGAGATCATATTTTTACAAATCAGCAGGTTTAATGACAAAAACAAGAGAGGAGATGCTATACAAATTAAGGATGCAAACAGGCTTGTAAGGAGAATGCATGAATTACTCAAAGCAACATTTGCTTTTAAATGAATATGCTTGTTACAAAAACATCCAACATCAGACCTAATCCCCTAAGAATCTCCTCCAAAGTATCACTCTATAGGCCTATTCTGCGATATTCAAAGTATTTAAAAGCAATACATGATGCCTGCCTGAAAATATTTTAGAAGTCATATTTCCTACTAACTTCTCAGAATGGCCCATGTCCCTATTTGTTCAAACTGTGCTTTTTGTCTCTACTAAATTTTATGACATGCAAATATGACCATCCATGAATATTATAGTGTGAGGTGTTACACGTATAAAGCATGCAGTAAATCTTCATATGTGTGATCTCCTTTCCTTATCAGGAAACTAAGGAAAATTTTCAAAATCAAATTCTTTTAAATCATTCAAGAGAAGGCTTCCAAAAAGGCCTCAAATATTAAAACAACCAAAACCTTTCAGCCGTATAACTTAGGTCTTTAAAAAATGAGTCTTACCTTACTTCAGCTGGTGGACTCGAGGAATAGGGATTTGCTGAACAAGCCAGAATTCTAATGACTGCTCCAGGATGATAGGTTTCCAGAACGTGAACAGCTGTAGGATACACCTGTTGTTCAAAAGTAAGTTCCACATAGTCCTGGCTTTGAAAATAAGGTGGCGTCCTCTTGAATGGCAAGGAAGCACTGGGACACTGATCCCACCATGTCCCGTAAGTTCGAAACACGGCTGTCTGAGTAAAGTCACCAGAACTTGGGAATACATTTGGTACATCTGCCAAATTCCACATGGTATAGGACATACTATTTTCACTTCCATAATGGGAACTGAAATCCACCACTTCTTTGGCATATTGGACTACCTCTGCATTGAGAGGGGAAGCCCGGCTGTTTGATTCTATAGTTCTATGGTTGTTCATCATTTCTCCTCTTGTAGCTGTCCTGGCTCGGCGCCGAAGGCATATATAATAAAACATAGTCAGAACTGTTAACATGGGAAAGACTGGTGACATCTAGATGTGAATTATGAAGCTTCAAAAGGTCAGGTGTCCTCAGTAAGATGCATGAACTCTTTGAAGGATGTTCTAAAAAAATGAATGGCTTGGTAAAATAAAATAATTTAAATAAGCAGAAAAATGCATGGATAAGGTAACAAACAGGCTTTATCCCACTATAATTTCCCAGAATAAAACTCTGAAAAAACAAGTTTTAAACTGTAAATGTGAATGTCCAGTATAAATAATTTATCTAATGTATTTTTAAGAAACCTAAATGTTGTAATGCATACAACTTTATGCTACATGGGAAGCAAAAATGATATTATAAGGCAATGGAAGATGCATGATCCAAAAACCCTATTTTACACAAAATTAAAACCACCACTTAAGAAATACCAACTCCTTGAATTTGAAGCTTAAAAATTATTTAAAATATAAGGTGAACCACTAAAATACTGTTGTAAATCCAAAAGAATCTTAGGCATTGCTGTAATTTCACATTTTAACAAATGATTTCTTATTGTTAACTACTACTGTCTTCCAAACATGCTAAGTACAGATTTCACATTACTGGGAATATAGTTTTTTGGTGCTGACAGTTAATCAAGACCAACTAAATTAACTGCCTTACACATCACAGATCACCAGACAGTGTTTAATTTATAACTCTTAGCACTATTTGTTAGGGCAGTCCACGGCTGGCTGGCATCTGGTTTGTTGCCAGGTACTCTTAGAAATCACTCACCCCAGATAGAATGGTCATAGGATGCACGTGGGAAATGCAAAAGTTGGCATTCATCCATGTAGCCTGAAATTTGCATGCTGATTTCAGGCACGAGTGCTGAAATGTGACATTCTTTTACCTGTAAGACAAGAGTTTGGAAAATATTTTTATGTCTAACTCAGGAAGTCAAATATCCCAAGAGCATTATTATAGATAAACAGCCAATTATTAGACACAGACACTTTCAAGTCAGACTACACTTTTGCTGAATTTTATAGACAATTCTAAATATTTAAAAAATTTTATGACAGAATGTAATAAAAATATAATAATGAACCTTATCTATACTGAGGTTGCAAGCCCATAGCTTTTGTTTCAAACTATATTTGCAGATGTATTTTACTGGGGCCAAACAGTGTTTTTTATAAATCGGTCTGGTTTGTAACCTTTAACAATCAAGAGGACCCCAAGAGGCTTGACCACTCTCAGTGGCCACCCTTTTTCCCAGCCAGCTCCACTCATTTACAACATACGCCTGGACCCTGTCCTGAGTAGGTGACCTCTCGTCAACACAAACAAGAAACTCAAACATACTTATTTTTGTACCTGTAAAGTCTTAAGTTTAAAAACAAGGGGAACATACCAACCTTTCTTTAGCAGAGCAAAGTGCTAGCTTTCCAAAACTTTATCACTGGGATTATAAAATATTATTTGTGTTACATGTCTCTCCCACTCACAAACCTCCAATGGCTTTTTCTTATCTTTAAGATATAATACAAATTCCTTGGTTTGGTGTTTCAAGGCTCCCTTCAAGCTGGACCAATCTCTCCTTGTACTAACCCGATAAACCCAGTCAAGCTTTACCACCCTTCATATTTTACTTTGTCTTCCTTCCTCTGTCATTTCTTTTCCAACAACTTTATTCCACATCAGCAGGTTTACTCTCTGGCACCCACTGGCAGTGCATTTTTATTAGATACATACCTTAGCTCTGCTAGCGTCTATGTTAGAAGTTTCTTGAAGGAGGGAATCTACCTAAATGTCTTTATTTCTCAAAGTACTCAGCATATAGTAGGCACATAATATTTGACATGCTGATAGAAAGGTGATCAGCAAACAAAAAAAATGTATAAAAGGCTAAAATAATTTTAAATTATAAAACAGCAACCCTCTGCCTCTCAATCCCAGCCAGATTCAAACATACTGAAATACTTGATAAAATATAACCAGTAAAACAATAAAGAAAGAGCAGAGCTTGAACCAAGTGGAAAGAATCCACAGTTATAAGAAACAAAGAAGAAAGTCAAAGAGCAGAGGCCAGGGGCTAAAGCTAATATGACTTATGGAATGAGCTACAGTCCATAATGGTTACAAGGGGACTTTCTAACACCCAGGCAGAGAAGTTATTTCAATACACAGGTTATATTTGGAAGGACCTTCATAACAGCAAAACTCAGAAAAGACCATCCTATCCTTGAAACCGGGACTATAAAAACTTATCTTACTTGGCAGGAATTCTGAGTAGACACGGCCATCAACTGAGCCAGTGTGGGCAAAGTCATGAGAACAAATCAGAACCCCACATAGTATATGCCTAGTAGGCATGTACTATGCATAGAATGGGAGCCTAAATTCACACTACCTTCATGGCTTAGAATTCTACTCCATTTCTAAGTCAAAAACTGAAAAAAGAAAAAGTAGTCCTGAACTGGTAAAACTTTAGGACCTGGTAGCAGCAAATGTAAAACCTCTCTGTAGAGATGCTTTCAAAACACAGACTAAACCTTTATTAAAGATGCATCACAGCAAAAAATTATAGATCATAACAGAAAATGAACTGCAATGAGGGACAGTCACTAAATCACCAAATGAAGGAATCTGCATCACAATAACTAAAAATAATAATCAGAACAAAACTTTTTCTGAAGAAGAGAAACAAAGCCTTTATTAAAATAAAATGTTGCTATAGCACATGTTCCTAGGATGTGCCATGCATCAGTGAACCAGATTCAGCTCAGGACATGTAAAACCAAATGCTGAACTATAGGTCATGTCATAAATGTGGGAAAAAAACAACTATCTACTTGTATCACTTCTTTATTCAAACATTTCACCTATCACAAGTATAAACCCATCCAATAAAAAAAGTTTTATAACCACACAAATCTCAAATCATTAAAACAAAATTTGAAATGATACAGATCTTTCTTCTACACTATATACTTTATTTCAAAAGGTAAACTAAAAAGAGTCATTTTCCAAAGAAGTTACTTGATCCTTCTCTTTCTGAAAATAAAAAGAATTAATGAAGTTAAACTGCAAAAATAAAATCCAGGAAATAAAGAACAACATATAACAAATATGCAACTCAAATGACAGACCAGCTAATTTGGAAGACTGTGTATGTTTTATTCCTAGAAATCTTTAAGGGAAGAACAGAAAACCACCTAACAGTGTGGATAGATGAATTACCTGTATGATGTCTGGACATCACTTCTCACTCCACACAGTCTACAAATTGCTTCAATTAAACTCCACCCATTTTCTTTATAAAATGCTGTTTATCAGAAAGTAAAACAGTTTTTTAAAACCAAAGAAACATCCTCAAAATAAGATATTCTTGTGCATTTTCACATTCTTGGTGAAAAGATTGAGACAAATCGTGAAAGTCAAATTCTATTTGACATTAAAAAGCCACAAACTTTAAAACTGTTTCCCAGCTAGCTTTTACCACTGTAGATTATAAGACGATATCAAAAGCAGCAAGAGTATCATATGCGCAATATTATTCTTAAGCTGTGTTAAAGTTAAATAAAACTTTACAGTGAGGCAACATATGTAAAAGTGAGTTATAAACTGTAAATATATGTGTTATATGTTCAAATTTCTTCAGTACAGAAATGTAAAACGAATGCTTTGTTTTTTTCCAACTATGGATAAAAATAATATTGAGTTAATTTTTTGTGAAATAAAGCTAAAAATTACATAAGAAATTTTTGAAAGAAGGAAAAGCACAGTATGATACACTGAAAAAGCAAATATATTTATTCTTTTTCCAGCAGTGCTATTCTAAAAATGTTATACAAATTAAAACCTGTTTTTGAAGATAAGCAAAGCATAGAAATGAAAAAGAGTAATGTACAAACGCACTGCTGTGTCCTTCATTGATTCTAAATTCCTTTCCAATCTACTAAGATGACACATAAAAGTATTTTAGGGGTGAGGAAGAGCATATGGAGAAGAAAGGATAGCCCCCTCTACTGTTCCCTGGGAAATGAAACTGAAAAAAGGAATGGAATCATTGTCTCAGGACTCATGTGGGTAGCAACAACCAATGCAGAAGTCCAAATTTTCCATGTACTATCTGGACTTTTGCCAAGGCGTGGAGGTAATTTGTGACAACCAATGAATATCCCAATGGGCAAAGAACCAAGTGTAAAAGATACAATAACTCTATTTTATGAGGAGAATGGGATTCAAAGACAAACTGATTTTTCCCACCTGGTATAAATAAATAAATATTAGTCTAGAACCCTAACTTTGTCCAAAAGGGTGATTATAAAATCTACCTTTGGAGAGGGATTTTCTTTTTTAGTTCATTCAAAAAGCTACTTTAAAAGACTCTCACAACATATAAAAATATTATTTTCCATTTAGCAAGAAGTCAGAATTAGAAATAGGATAAACTTCATTTTATTTGTTGCTTCATCCAATCACTTATTAACAATGATTATGAGGCAAGAAACTCTCTATAACACACCGAACATTTACATTAGCACAATCAAGGAATACAAAACAACAGCCATTTTAACTGTATCTTGAGACTTTCATACTCCCTGGGAAACAACTTGCTTTCTATGACATGATTTTATTATAATACAACTTTATTTTCAACCACATCTTCCATATTATAAAATGCTTAACAAAGTTAAATAATACAATTACAAAGAAAGCAATAACAGTGGAAAAGAGAAATTAAGAGGTATAGACAAGGGAGAACATATGTTTCCTACTGAGATTTGAAGTGAGATGGGGAGTCGATGAGGCGGAGAGAAGCAGGATGGCAGGAGCTACAGAGAAGTGGGGCTTGTGCTTCCACAGAGGGAAGAAGAGGAAGGAAGGAAAAAGACTCTTCAAGAAATAACAAAGGGAGCAATCAGAACGCACTAGAGCCAGGACAACGGAAAGGCTAGGTTCGCAGTGTGATGAAAGAACATGGAACACAAGTTTAAAACTCAAAAGGGAATTCTCAACTTATATTAAAGTAAAAAAACATGGAAAAAGACAAAAATGACAGGCAATAAGGCACAGCCATATATAGAAGGCAAGCTATAACACAATACTTACTGGTAAAAGAGCCCACAGAGGCATGTCAATGAAGTGATAGGAAAAAAGAGGGTGCTGACAGTTTTGCAGCATAGAACCAAAATAGAACAGAATGAGCAATGTGGTAATAAAGGAAGAAAAAAGGCCAAATCTAAATGTTTCTCATTTCTGAATCCTGCTGAAACTGATCAAGAGATACTATTTTGAGGAAAGGACTTTTATGGTTGAATCTAGAAATCAAAACGGGAATGATGGAAAATACCAATCCAGAAAAGAGTGGAATTATATCTGAATTTGGTGTAGCATCCAAAATTCCTATCAGTCCTCTTTTCTGGCCAGCCCCCTCTAGGATTCTACACCAACATGTGGTCTTATACACCTTCTTACCTCTCTGGTAACTTCTCCTCAGTCTCCATTGGATTTTCTTCCTCCTTATTCTTCTCATATACCGAGAGGCACCATTAAAGGTAGGCTGCCATTCCAATAACATGGTATGTAACAACATTCCGCTTACCTCTGCCCTGACTTCCCCCATCCCTTTCACTTTCACACCCACCACCATTGCCATACATCCACCAGAGACTCTACTGTGTCCTTAATAGCACTTGTGGTATCACGTCTCAGCATCTTTAGGTCTTCAACAAAGGCTAGGTAGCCATGGAATTCCCTCTCTCCCCCTGCCTGGCACCCTCTTACCCATCCTTCAAGGTCAGGTTTAGCTTTATCCACCACCCACCCTTCCTTTGCTCTTACAGGTTACATATTTGCTATTTCTTACATGCCAAGGTATTTCTCTTCCCCAATAGACTATGA